CTCTGTACTAAATGCTCTGCCTCACCACTCACAGAGACTCTAGTTATAAAAAGTATCAAAGCATTCCTAGTATGTTAAAAGGTTTTTACAAATTATTATTTCTTTTTACTGATTCAACTGCCACCATAAAGAATTCGTTTTTAAAAACTGGCTCTACAACTCCTACTTCGGAAATCAATCAATATATGTAACAATTTTAAAAAATAAAAAAATAAAAATATATGTAACAATTTTAAAAACCTTCATGCTATTTTACCATATGACACTAAGAAGATTTATGTAAGACAACAGGATGCAAATAAGGATTTCCATCTTTTACAGAAGAGATTACACATGTCACCCCCAAATCTCAATCACAAAGTGTGACCCTCGAGGCTTTTCTTTTTAGGAAATGCACATTATGCCTTTTATTTAACTCTAAAGTATAAAGAATACGTCCGTCTGTAGTACGTATATGGTTTTGAAAAACACATGTAGATACACATCCTTGCATATATATGATCCACTTTCAGAATTTGTAATTATTTAACTTATAATTAGAAGCCACCTACTTATCCAGAGAACTTAAATTGCTTTTGTTCATTTTCCATACTATTCCCCACACTTCATCGCCAGGACTGTGAAAAATGGTGGCTATCCCTCCATGCCAAGTTTCACTTGTTTTGCCTTGGGGATTGCCAAAGTCAAGCTTAAAATCCTACAAAGAAAACCAAAGGGACATGATCAATGTTCTCTTGAACCAAAATTTCCTCAAAAAAGAAAAAAAAAAAGATTTACGTTGAACTTTATGCAATTAAAATGTAAACTGAGTTCCTTCTATGTGTAAGAAACTATGGAAATAGAAAGATAAACAAAAACCTGTATCTCAAGGGTTGTTATGTATTTTTCATATTTTTCTTTAAAAATGAAATGTATACTGAGTAGGTACAGTATCTTACCATAAACAAAAGGTTTAAGTGGGAAGAAAAATCCCATAAATCCCAATGCCTTAACAACTATTTCCATTTTTAAAAAAATATATTTTATTGATTTTTCACAGAGAGGAAGGGAGAGGAATAGAGAGCTAGAAATATCAATGAGAGAAACATCGACCAGCACACCGGGGATGTACCTGCAACCAATGCACATGCCCTTGACTGGAATCGAACTTGGGACCCCTCAGTCCGCAGACTGATGCTCTATCCACTGAGCCAGACTGGTTTCAGCTCTATTTTCATTTTTGAAAATTACTTTCCAGCCTACTTACAGATAGATTTTTAACTTAGAAGCAATGACAGTGTATATAATTATTGAAACTGGTATAAGCTACATAGGAGTTATAATAATCTCTATTTTTATGGACATAAGGAGTATTGACTAGTATATATCATGACGTTTGCCCTAAGAGAGCTGGCATTTGAGGGTAATTTGTATACAATGAACACTAATCTAATATTCATAAACTCTAATAATATATCTATAATTATCATAAAAGCAACTAACACACTGGAAAATTACTGGGTTCTATATACATACTGTGCTGTGAGCTTTATATGGACTCTCATTTGTATCTTGCCTAATAAACTTATTACACCCATTTCACAGCAAGAAAAACTGTGGCTTACAAAATCAGGCAACTTGCCTAAGGTCTCACGATTAATAAGTAATGGAGCCAGGTTTCCAGTTTAGCTTCTTTCCTCACAGAGAGGGCACAGTCCTGGGGAAGATGAAAAATCCTTACGTGGCTGTTTGATCTAGGAAGACTGCTTTCCATCTTCCCAGAAATTAGTTCCCTTAATGATAACGTGAACAAGGATGGGCTCAATAATAAGTCTAAGGTTTAAATTTTATCCTTGTCAACTTTATTTTCTTAAAAACCTTCTTCAGACATTTTAGGAAAAAGTGTTTGTTTGTTTTCAGTGACTAGTACCTTTCACTGGTATCCTGGATATTCTAGGACCAAGTGTCCCTTCAAAGGATCTGATAGGAGTCACCGCCACACTAGGAACTGGCTGCCTATTGCTAAAGGCAAGAGACAATTTCAGTCTTCGTCTTGTCCCAGTTCTCAGCTGCTTCTGACACCACCCTGTCTTGATCTGCTTTCTCCTGACTTCCAGGTTGTTCCTTGATCTCGATTACCTTTGCCAACTCCTCCTCGACTACCTGGTCTTAGATGTTGGAGTTCCCAAGGGTTCAGCTTAGGCCTTTTCTCTGTTCATTCAGAAGCTTGTTCAAGACAACCTCAACCCTCCAATAACTCCAAATATCATCTAATATTCCAGTCACCTTTAATCCAACCCAAATCTCTCTCTGGGCTTCCAAAGTGCCTAAAGCAAGCCTACACATTCCAAGTATCTAATAAATGTTCATTAGTATTGTTCTGCTCTCTTGGATGTAAAACCAGCATATCAAATTTAGTACGTGTAAATCAAGCTTGATTTCCCCTCCCAAACCTGATTCTCCTCTTTACAAACACCACCATCACCCACCCTGTTATTGCACCAACAGCCTTAGTCATCCCTATTATCTCTCCTGCCTTCAGAGGCAATCACTGTTGACATATCTCCCCCACCCCCACCCCAACGTGGTGTTTCTGCTGTCTGTGGGCAGATGATGACTGTTATTTCCTAAATATCCCCCAAACCCATCTACCCTCCCTTGCTACCACTCACGGTGCCATGATCGTTAGCATGGAGCTTTTTAACTGGGCTCCCACACCCTCCATTGCCACCCGTACGCCTTCCAAGCCATTTTCCACAGCAACCAGAAGAGGTAAATTAAAGACGTAAATCTGATCTCTCCTTTGCTTAAGTTCCACAGTGGCTCTTCTCACGCTCCCAAGATAAAACCAGTCTTCTTTGACCTGTGGTCCAGCAACAGGTGGCCCTTCCTTACCTCGGCAGCCCCCATGCCACGTCTCCCTCACACACTCAGCGCCAGCCTCACCAGCTGGGGGACCCAGCTTCTCTCCTGAGGGAGGTCTTTGGTGCACACCACTCCTGTTTGTTCCTGCCCTCCCCCGATCATTCAGGTCTTGGCTTAAGCAATCATATTTTCAAGAAGAGCTTTACTGAACATTCTGGTTAGGTCAGGTCTCCATGTCATACACTCTTCTCCTTAAAAAAAAAAAAACACCTTTTTTTTTTAGAGGAATTTTAGGTTCACAGCAAAATTGAGATGAGGGTAAAGCTCCGTTTTAAGACTAACCATACCTATAACTGGATGATCATTTTCTTGATAGCTTTTCTCATCATCTGAACTATCAAGTCCCACATCTGGGGGACTCCCTACCTTATGCACTTGAGGGGTAGAGTGCCAGAGCCCAATTCCCATTTTGAAGCTTTGAACACCAGAAGTTGGTTCTCCCAGCTTTGCTTGGGCACGTGGCCAAGATTTAGCCAAACTGGACAACTCCCCCTGAGTCTTTGAATTATGCCCAAGGACAGCAGACACTCCACGCTGGTGGTGGCGGCCACATCTGGGTTTCAGGATCTGCAGGGGTGTTGTGACAGTGGCAGGCAGGGTCCAGCACAGATAGCGCTGGTGCTGCGTGAGGCAGTGCCCACGTTTACCCAGTTCAGCAGGGGTGCAGCCCGGCCTCCGGGGCTGCTCCTGTCCTCCGTGGCACTGGCTGCGTTACCATCGCCATGCCTCCCTTTATGCTTGCCTGTTTTGTCAGCTTTGTGGTCCTGACTTCCTGGTCATTCTGTAAGCTCTCCAACAGCCTTTCAGTGCATTCCTTTTCTGCTTAAATCAGCCACTTTCTGTGGCTTGCAACCAAGAACCCTGATGATGACAGCAGAGGCCGGGCTTGTCAAGTACAACAAGCAAAATGGTTTTGTATTATAATGTAATTTGTCTGCGTGCTTCTCCTGGAGCCTGGAAGGTCAAAGCAGCCAGCTCTGCTCAATCATCTCTGTGTCTGCAGGTAAGTGCTGGAAAAACATGCAACTAAGAACCCCGATGACAGCAGAGGCCGTGTTTGTCAAGTTCAACGTGCCAAAAGCTTTTGTAACATAATTTGTCTGCGTGTTTCTCCTAACAGCCTGAAAGGTCCTCAAAGCAGCCAGCTCTACTCAGTCACCTCTGTGTCTCCAGGTAAGTGCTGGAGAAAAAGGAATGAATGGACTGAGTGGAAGAGCATGATTTTTACCCAGGTTGGCTCCGTTTCACCAGCCACTTAACTGAGCAAAGCCCTTCAGGAGGAATAAGACATGGTTCCAGCTTCCAGGGCCTCTCAAGTTCGGGGGACGGTGAGGGATGAATGAGGAAAGACAGAAAAAGGATTTTTTTTTTTTTTTTTTTTTTTACAATACCAGGTGACAAGTCCAGTAGCAAAGATACCTCCCAGAACAGAAGGCAACTGATTCCCTGACCTGGGTGGGAGAAAGCTTCTCCGAGGTGTCAACGGAATGGATTGAGAGGATGCCCCTAAGGCAGTGGACGAGGGGCAGCCAGAACTGGGCAGAAGGAGCAGCTGGAGGGCATGATAGGACAGGAGGGGAGCCACGGCGGCCTGGGGCACCGATGCTGGGGTGGCAGCGCTCAGGGGTCAAGCACAGGCCGCGAGGGCGCGGTGGGCCTGCCCAGGAGGACTCATCGTGAAGATGAGCCGCACTCTCATGGGTGAGAGCTGCGTTCCCGGGCCCCACGTCGCAGGGGCCGGGCGGGGAGCACTGACCTGCAGGCGGGCCACGCAGCAGAACTCGGCCGAGGGGTTCCGGAGGTGGATCCGCTCGGTCAGCAGGTTGCTGCCATAGGCGAAGTACATAACACTCTCCTCCTCCTCCGGGCCCCGCGGGTCCTCGCTGCCCGAGCTCGCCATGACGCCCCGCGCCAGCAGCCGGGGTAGGAGGAGAGGACGCCGCCGCCGCCCCCGGAGTTAGGGGGGAAAAGGTGGGAAGTGTGGGCCGGACGGGGAGCGAGCGCTCTTCTGATTGGCTGTCGGCCCCCAACGACGCCAGTCGCCCCTGCTGATTGGCCAAGCCCGCCGCCCTCGATCCACTTTCCTCTTGGACTCGGAAATGCTCAGTCCGGAGGCGACCGGGGTCTGGCTCCTCATTGGACACGCCTTCTCTTGTCCCGCCTCCGTGGTCAAAGGCCGCCTCTGATTGGCGCGTGGTCGGGCGCTACGCGGAGTCAGGTCAGGTCGCGTGGGCTCGGTTCGGCGGTCGCGGCGCGGATCGCCACCAGGTTTCTCCCTCTCGGGCGTGGGCCGGGGCGGGGGGTGCGTGTGGGTGGCGGCGGTGGGGGCGCTTTAGGGAGCTGTGGGCAGATCTGGGGCGAAACGGCGGCCATGTCGACGGCAGCTTCCTCCCCCGGCAGCTCGCCTTGGCCCGGTTCGGATGAGTCGGCCAGGACGGGGCTGTTCACCCCGCACCCCCAGCCCTGAGGGTCTGTCTTCCCGATTCCTTTTCTAGGGACCCTTCGCCTCCCGGAGAAGTCCCTCTGGACGCCTCGGGCTCCCTTCCCTGACGGAAGTGCGGCGCCGGGTTCAAATTCCGACGCTGCCGGTTGGTGTAAGTATTGCCATTAAGTGCACAGACCCCCCGTGTAAAATAAGATGTGAAAGTATCAAAACAACGGAATAAAACCCTATCTTGCTAACTTTGAAGTGAAGGTATTAATATGAACTCAGGCCTAGAAGCAAATCTTCGGCACCCAGATTTTGACCCCTAAATACTATTATCCACAAAAAGATACATGGAGAAGGGGCTGAGGCCCGGTCAAGAGCTGGGAATGAGGGAGTTCTTGGAATATCTCCTGACAGGAAGTCGGGAATATCCAAGAAAAAAGAGGTTCTTATATTTAAAAAAAAAAAAAAAAATTGATTTGGCTGCCTCCTGCTCATCCCCTACTGGGGATCAATCCTGCAACCTGGTCATGTGCCCTTGACCAGAATGGAACCTGGGACCCTTCAGTCTGCAGGCTGATGCTCTATCCACGGAGCCAAACCAGCCAGGGCGAAAAGGAAGTTCTTTTAAAAGGACCCTGGAGCCAACCTGACAGAATGCCCACTGGCCAAAGTTACAACAATTTGAGGGTCAAAAATACTGACTGCAGTTGATGGAAAATGTAAAACATGTAAAAGTCATTTCCTGGAAAGAGTGAGCCAAATCTTAAAAAAAAAAAAAAATTTCTAGAAACCCCCATTTGTCATATTACTGGTGGTGACTATTATACCAGCTCTTTACTCTGAAAAGCGGTTAAGTGAAAAAAACAAAAAAACAAAAAAAAACATTTATCCTGCCTTTCTAGTTGCAGGTGTATTTCAAAGTAATCAAATAGTCCCAGTTGATATTGAAACAGCTGTTAATAAAACCATTTGGTGAAAGGGAACAGAATATTAACATGTGCACCATTATTCCCCAGGAATTACTCGATAACAGTGGAAACATGTGGCCTCTCCCATCTTAGCCTTGATGAATCTTACCACCACTGAACGTGGGCCGTGACTTTTTTTTGTCTCCAGCATCCGTCTGTGAGTATCATTTCCAAAAATCTTTAACTTCAACATCATAAAGCAGGAACTACAGGATTGAAAGGGGGAGGAAAATGACACCAAGAGGAAAAATCTAAAGCAAAGGCTAGGACGGACTGCAGAGCAAATAGCTTAGCCTCTTCAGTTAAGCCAGTGTCGTTTAATGAAATAAAGGCTGCTTTTGCTGGGCTGCTGGTCCGGAGCCATGGTACCCTCGCTGTGGAAGGGGCTGGTGGGCGTCGGCCTTTTTGCCCTAGCCCACGCAGCCTTCTCCGCCGCCCAGCATCGTTCTTACATGCGATTAACAGAAAAGGAGGATGAGTCCCTGCCCATAGATATAGTTCTTCAGATCCTCCTGGCTTTCGCAGTTACCTGTTACGGCATAGTTCATATCGCAGGGGAGTTTAAAGACATGGATGCTACGTCAGAACTAAAAAATAAGACCTTTGACACATTACGGAATCACCCATCGTTTTACGTCTTCAATCATCGTGGTAGAGTACTGTTCCAGCCTTCGGATGCAACAAATTCTTCAAACCAAGATGCGTTGTCTTCTAACACATCCTTGAAGTTACGAAAACTCGAATCACTGCATCGCTGAGATTTTTACCAATCATCACAACAGGACAGGACACGGAGCTGGAATATTGGCGTTTGGGGTCTATAAAACACCTCCCCTCATCGATACTTCTCTTGATCTTTCAGACCTAATTTTTAAAAGGTTGATGCCCCTGGTTTTTATACTGTTAAATTATCGATGCAGTATGAAATAGCTGTGAAATGAGTCTTTGATCTTTCATAGAGTTCTTTTTCCCCCATTTTAAACAAATAGGCATCTTTTGTCAAAGTCACTGTTTTGAACACATTTCTTTGGGGGGAAAATGTTGATGTGTTTGTAATTGTTTTCTCACATTTCGTTTCCTTAGCACTACAGTTTTTAGGACCCTTTTGGAAACAATGTGCTGCATTTTGCTGCATGAATGATAATAAAATGGTCTTCAGTTTTTTTTTTTTCTTTTTTTTTTTTGTTTTTTTTTAATATCTTTTGACTTTTTACAGAGAGGAAGAGAGAGAGATAGTCAGAAACATCAATGGAAAGAATCATCCATCAGCTGCCTTTTGCACACTCCCTACTGGGGATGTGCCTGCAACCAAGGTACATGCCCTTGACCGGAATGGAACCTAGGACCCTTCAGTCCGCAGGCCGACCCTCTATCCACTGAGCCAAACCGGTTTCGGCATGGTCTTCAGTTCTTAACAAGTGGACTTATCTGCAGAGATTTAAAAAGGTGACATCAGTTTTTTGTAGGGGCTCTAAAAAGGGGCTCTGCTTCAGGAGTCACTTGCCAGATTTTAATTTATCTCTCACTTCTCACCCCACCAACTCCCATATACCTTCTAACATCAGCCATCTCCTGGCATCACTTCTCTGGAGTTTCGTGTGCAGTGAGCAATTTTTGTGTCAGAAATTCTTTGTCATAACAAATCTACTTAATAGACTCAACTCGCTGTAAAGCTACTTGTACTCTTTGTTTATCTGTAAAAAATGTACCTAATAGGTTATGTAGTGTTAGAATGTTGAAGGTACACCAAAAAGACCCTTTGGGATTTAATTATCCTGTTTATGTAGAAGAAGAATCACTGAGGAAAACTGATTGTCATTAGTTTAATTTATTCAAATTGTTATTTTATTGCATTCTACACTAGTAAATTAGTAAAAATAAACTTCTCATTAAAAGAATTGGGCCCAAAATGGTTTAAATATTTGGAACTACTATCTTTAATTTTTTTTCTCATAACATTTAAGAATTTTTTTTGTGGCTTCTGGCTTGTCGCAGGCTTACAGTTTTCCATCTTCGTTGTACGTTACTGAAGATGATACAGAGTAGTACTTTTTTAGGAACAGTAATTTTAGTTTTAGGGAAATTTGACTAGCCTTTTGATCTGCAGAAAGCTTAACATTTCTTGGTAGAGAGATTTTATTGAATTCTCAGGTATGAAAACATTGCTTATGTGGAATTGTGTAGATGTAAAGGGAATAACTATGCAGATTTGAAATGGAAATGAGCTTTAGGCAAGAGTTATGTGATGCCCTTACGCTTGATGGCATTTTTTCCTCTAGAAATGAACCTTAGCACTTCTGTTCTGCCTGGAAACACACAGCCCCAAAGCAGCAGGTTTTGTCATTGGGCTTTTATTGTTTATTTAGTTTTGTTTTGCCAACCTAGTCTACCTGTGGAATACTAGCTCTGCTCTCTAAAGAGAACAAAGTTGGAAATCTTCTAATAACCTAGAATAACTTAAAAGTGAGTTAAAGAGGTGAAATCGGGTTAAAAGTGGTGATAAAATCAAAACTGTGTGTGAGAAACAGCTCCTTATATCGGTTGTATAGCGTTTCCTTGGGGATGACTAGATTCCCAAGGGCCTCTTGTAATCTTTTCTTGGGGCTGTCTTCCTTTCAGAACAACTTTATTAAGATATAAGTCATATTCCTTATAACTCACTCACTTAAAAGGTACAGTTCAGTGGTTTTGTAATATAATCACTAGTTGTGCAGCTATGACCACAGTCAATTTGAGAATAGTGTTATCTATCACCCCCAAAAGAAACTAACCCTTTAGCAGTCATCTCTCATTTCCCCCAATGCCTCCCAGCCCCGAGCAACCACTTTCCTGTCTCTCTGATTTGCCTATTCCTTTTAATTGAATTTATTCAATAGTTGATCTTTCATAACTGGTTTCTTAAATATAGTTTTGTTCTGTGAAGAGTGAGAACTTCTCATCTTGAGAATTGTGAGTGCTGTGAAAGAAAGTGTGGTTGGTGAAATCAGTGGATGTAAGACAGAGGGTCAGATTTTAATTATAATATAAAACAGGCCATGACTACCTAGGGTAGTCCCAAAAGCGTTATGCAAGCTAGTTCAGTCTGCAGTGGACTACTGAAGAATCTCTAGAATATGAGAAGACTCACCTCTTAACCAGGGAGCCAGCTCTCTGCGATGGGCTAATAGCCCCGCTGCACATAGTGCCCTGCAACTCCCTTTTTCACACGTCTTCCATCCAGAATGGCTCTGTGGTCAGAGCTGGAAAAGACTGTTTTGTCTACTTCCTCTTGGACAGTCCAGGGTCCATGACCACAGGAAGGAATCGGAGGATACCTGTCATGAAGAAACCTGCTGAGCTCTGTTCAGTCCTGACTTCCCCAAACCTTTGGTGTGGGGAAGCATGTTACCGAGCATGTGGGAAATGCCTTGATTTTTGAAGGATGATTGCTTAGTTCTTGCAGAATCATATTAACTAAACCCTTATATTATCTGGAAAATTGAAGACAAGCAATGATGTTGGCTAGATGTTATTTATTGCTTTAATATGATTTCAAAGCCATTTGTTGATGACTTAAACGAAGTTGTTTTAATCGACCTGTTTATGGCCTAGCAACTTGAGAGGACAGCTTATCTCCTCTGTTGGAAAGCTGTCAGCAGCTCATCTGCTAGGGGAAGCAACCCTAGCTATATTAGTATTTTATATAGAGTATCTAGATGATACATACAGTATGTAAGGACTGTTCAAGAGGCAGTCTGGGCGAGGCGCACTTTGCTGAGCTAGCTCTCTGAAGACTTTGGGCGTTAGCTCCTGTCTTGGTGAGGTGTTGCCTCACAGAAGGTGGTGGTAAGACTTGCAGCGACCCCATTGCGGAATCATCCTGCCCACTAACACGTTCCTTAGCAACGTGCTCTGGCAACAGTGGACTTACATTTTGTGCTGGCCGCTGGGAAGTCAGCTCCAGGTTGGCTAAGGGTGGCCCTCCCCACTGCCTACTTGTAGAAACAAGTCCACCCCAGCTAAATTTGGGCATTATTTCTCTCACTTTCCCTTGCCTGAATAATAGTATAATTAATCTAGCATTGCTTTGGCATAAGTTACTATCTTTTTAAGAGACGTTATCCTGGATGCTATTCGCACGCTTTTGACATTCCCTCAACGAACCGGTGTTAAATAAATGGCTGGCAAAGACAAAATTAGTCTCTGAGTATAATTTTACCGCCAAAACATAACACTAGAGAGGGGAGAATTCCAAATCTTTGTACTGTTCTGGTTTGCTGCTGCCGGGCTTGGTGGGTGATACAACCTTTTATCACAATTCCAGTCCTTGAAATCTTACCAGACAGGGAAGCTGGCCTTGAGCAGGTCTGCCTAGAACCAGTGGGTAGTGTGTGGGTTCTTGGCTTCACGTAGAAAAGAATTCACAATACAAGCCCAGGTGACTAAAGGTGTGTTTATTAAAGCTGGGAACAGAGAAACAATGGAAGGCCTTCAGGAGAGCGTAGGCTGGGCTGCTTTAGGTCACTGGGAAGTCAGAGAAAAAGGAGCCGTGGAGATAGGTTCAGGGGGTTAGCCTGGGATGAGCTGCCGCTGCCTGTTGCTTGCCTAGTTGCAAGTCTTCATGAGGTCCCTTAGAGTTTAAGAGGTGCATGCCTATGGGGGAAAGCAAAGGGGGCAGGGGAAGGCACAGAGGGAGAGCACACACTGGGTCCTTTGTCCTGAGGGTTTTTTTCTCTTGCAGGTGGGAATCTTACGGGAGGGTTTCAGCAGAATATTCACCAATTTTCCAGGTGTGCTCTTTCAGGGTTGAGGTCTCTACTGGTTGGTTAGTGCCAGGGCAGGGGACTGTTAGTCATTGCAGCTGCCCTTATTGTTGCATACTTGGTCTGGGCCTGGAGCTAAAATACAACTGGGGCCTAGATGTTATCTTTAGGGAGGTGACCTTCTTTGCGTAAGTTGCTGGGCCAGTCGGTTCAGCTATCTGTCTCAGTTTTCCCATTCCACCTGTCCTGGCTTACTGGCCTGTTTGAGAAATATTGCCTGCCTTTGCTGATTAAATTCCTGATAATCAGGTTGAAACTGCAGTTATATATAGAAATACCTATCAACCTCTATTACATGCAATAGTGGTTACAAACTGGTGAAAACAAGAATTTGATTGCCAGGCTGAGTGAAAAACATGTGATGGAGTTTAAAATTCTCAAACTGGAAAAGGTTTGGCTCCTTGGTCCTTAATATTTTCCATCCTTCTTCCTTTGCTCTTTCTTGTTTCCTTTAAGGTTGTCAAAGCAGTTTACAGGGGTTGTAGAGCAGGTTAGGCAGCTTCATGGAAATGTACCTAATTAGCAGCATTGGTAGCAGCAGCTGCTCTTTTTAGGCCAGTACAATGGTCGGCAAACTGCTGCTGCGCCGCCATTTGCCGCTTTGTTGACTAATGAGTTTGCCAACCACTGGGCTAGTAGTTTCTTAAAATGTTTCAACTTGCTCATTAAAACATTTTAGTGTTAGTACTGATTCATGTTTCCCACTACCAATGAGAAATCTTCCCAAATTCCAATTTGGAGGAAATTGTTGGCTTAGCAAGTTCTACTCGCAAGTAATATGATTTTCCATGCTGCCAAGAAATTAAGAATCGCCTCAATATGTATCATTACATGAATTGTTAATACAAAGTAGATGACTACATTTGGCAGTAGGCCAGTCTGGTTTAGAGGGCACAATATCTGATGATCTCTTGAACTAATTCCAGTGAGCAAATAGTAGGCCATGTCTTCGTGGAAGCAGGGATGTTTTCTGGCTTCTCGGCCAGAGAGGAAGGTTTAGCGGTAACAGGGAGATCATTTGAAAAATATATTTATTTATTAAATGGGTTGGGTTGACATTGGTCAACATGATCATATAGGCTTCAGGTGTGGGTTTCTACGTTGATCTGACTACTGCACCATGTGTCCACCCTTGAAAAGTCAGATCTCCTGTCACCTTCTATTAGAACTCCCTCCGAGGAAGATCATTTTTAGGAAGAATATCTCCCAAATGTTTTATAAAATTTAGGAAGAATATCTCCCAAATGTTTTAATTCCTCATAAGATTATGAGGAATTAAAACTTTTAGGATGAAACAGAACACATCTTTTTTTTCCTTTAAATAATTTCATCCACTCTGTCAAAAATAATCTGTTTTGTAGAGTTGTTTTGCATATAACTTTGCTGACCTCCCAATGCCTAGGGAACAAAAGTAAAAATAAACTCAAAAGACTGAAACCTAGCAAAATAGTTGTTAATATTTATGTCAGCAAAATAGGACTAAACCGGAATGGAAGTAATCCTGCTAAAAAATAGGAACTGTGAGTAGTTCTGGTCTGCCTGTAAAGACTGCCTTTTTAACTTTGCTGGAAATTTCTTATTTATTCATCAAAATTAAATAAATGTTACCTCTTCTATCAAACCCATCCCTAACTTCCAGGTAAATAGTCTTCTATATTTATAATACTTGATTGACTACTATTTCATTAAAACAATTTATTTGTTGACATGTTTCCTTCCCCTACTAGACCAGGATTATTACAGAGGGCAGGAATTATCATTCATTCAACAAGTATTTATTGGGTGTTTACCACGAGTGAGCAGGCCATTTTGCTTCTGCTCAATACTGAGGGGTAGTCATCTCTTTCTTCCCAGTACATAGTACATACCTGTCCCATTACTGAGTAGGCATTACATGAGTCACTAAATAATTCCATAACTGAGTGAAAGGATGAATAGATGAATGGCCTCTATTGTGTAAGGGAGAAAAGGTACCCATTTTGCAGTGAAGTTTCAGATTTCCCAATGTGCAAACAGAATCGGTGCAGAGAGAAGGTAAGCTCCCAAGGAGAATAGGATCTCTCCTTCTGCAAGGAGACACAGTGACTCAGTGCCTGGTGGGCCTTTGGAGAGCCCAGGGCAGTGCGAGCCTGTGGGTTTCCCATTTTTGCAATATGTTTGTCGCAGAATACATATAAGGCTTGTTGATTTTTCTCTTAACGTACTTTCCTCTGATAGCTAGCGTGCCCCTCTTCCTCAGTATAGTTGTTGCAAATCATTTTGACAGCAGGGAGTCCTTTTCCAAGCCTGAGCCATCCTCAGCTCTGCACTCCCATCAGCAGTTGGCCCACACGGGCGGTGTCAGGCTGGCCCAGATTTCATACTTGAGATGAATACTCATTCCATGGAGCCTGATGTAGTTGTAAAAGCAAGTGTGATTTTTTGTGGTTGGGTCTGACATAAAGGAAGATAGGCACAAAAAAGAAAACGACCGATTTTCCTTGTTTATTCACGGCAGTAATACATATAAAAAAACTCTTCTGTGAAATTAAACTTTTCTACAGACTTAAATTTAATTACACAAGCCTGTCTTCATAAGTAAAAACAGGCAAACTAATTTGCCAATTTTTTAACATACGCATGTGGGAAACCTCTTTTATTATATAATGGACTTTCAGCTTTAAAGGACACCCCCTCACCCGAATTAGTCTGTGAGATCGAGGTTTTACCTATAATACAGTATAAAAGAAAACATTCTTATAAGTATAGGAAAATATACATAACCGGGTTTTTCCAGCCTTTACCAGGATGTGGGGAGAATTAGGGAGTCTTGTAGCAGTTATAACTCTTGTCCCTACCTGAGAATGCAAGACTTGTAAATCCTTGCAAATTTCTTTCCAAGTAATCTCTCCCTCTTCCATCCCAGGGAATGTCTGTCTTGGAACTGGTCTTGATGGACACAGTGTCCTAAATCATCATTTCCACAAGGTGGCAGCACTACACCAGCAGGCACAGCCTTCAGGTCACTGAGCCCTCAAGGGTGTGACCAAGAATTCTTTCCTTCCCTTTACATTACTATTAAAGAGTTCTCAAAGAGGCAACTTTTTTTTTTTGTTCCTTTTAGACCAGCGGTTGCCAACCGGTGGTCCGCAGACCACTGGTGGTCCGTGAGGTCCGAAAGGTTGCCTTACTGTCAAGTTGGTTTTAGGCAGACCTCCAGAAAGCATTTCACCTGAACTCCACATCGCTCAAGGCAGGAGGGTATATGGATGGGGTCATTAAGTCAAGATAAAATCTTTTTAATAGCCACACAAAGACCCAAGGGCCAGAAGAACCTAGAGAATATGGATAGTTTATAAAAAAGAAATAGACATTTCCAGAGATGGGTCATATTTTAATTTGAAACCCATGGTGGACAGGGTGGCTGGGTTTTCCCATGGTAAAGAGTGTAGGGTTAGCGGTGATCACACTTGGCTGTGCTAGCATTTGGCTCCTTTGATCTTCATGTTGAGTGAGTGAAGTCAGACATTCATTCTCTTGGGAGGATAAACTCAAGCATGATGCCTCTCCGACATTTCTTCTATAGAAAGCAAAATCAAAATAGTTGACATTAGCCTTTGTTAGCTAATGCATTTTAGTTTTTTCCTCATGATTGGTAAACATAGACTCTCTTTCCAGGAAACTTGAGGCCCCCGAGAGACATGGAAAGTCCAGAGCAGCTCCCTCAATACAGAGTCTGGTGTTCTATTGCTCCTTTGACTCCAGGATCCACAGTAGGTTATCCTGGAATTAAGATGTCCAAGCATTCAGACTCCTAACTGGGTCTGAAAAGGTTCTTGGTCCAGCTGGAATCCAGGGCCAGGTGGAGGAGAGATGTGATGGTGGCTACATCAGGAACATGTGGAAGGTGGATGGAGAAAGGAAAGCTGGGTGTCGATGCATTGGCTGGGCTGGTGTCTGTTCCCTGTAACTTAAGATTGTCAGTTGACATGATGCTAAAGCCTGCTGTGGTCCCCTCGGCCCCTGTGGTGAGCCCCCGTCCCTGGCAGGAGAGGGAGAAGCTCTTGTCCTCCCTGGGGCATCACCCTGGGGATATGGACATATGGACCCGTGGCAGAAGCTGTGTCTTCTGCTGCTGCAGCTCCTGTCCATGCTGCTGAAAAGTGGCGATGGTGTGGCCGAGGTACAACCTTGCCACCCTCTGCCTCTCCTCTGCCCCAGCTCTGGGACATACACTTCCCTCTCATTATTTAGGCAGCAAATGAAAGAAATGAGTGAAAATTAAATCATGCAAACATTCACAGAGGCAGTGTCTTCGCGTTCCCGGGGGTGCCCAGATGAGCCTGTGCTGAGAACTGAAGGCTGATCAAGCTCACATCTAAAACTCTGGGTCCAGCCGAGACCGGTTTGGCTCAGTGGACAGAGCGTCGGCCTGCGCACTGAAGGTCCCAGGTTTGATTCCGGTCAAGGGCATGTACCTTGGTTGCGGGCACATCCCCGGTAGGGGGTGTGCAAGAGGCAGCTGATCGATGATTCTCTCTCATCGATGTTTCTGACTCTATCCCTCTCTCTTCCTCTTGTGAAAAATCAATAAAATAAAATTTAAAAAATAAATAAATAAATAAAAATAAAACTCTGGGTCCAGAGGAAAATTCCAGCTAATGGGAAACACTGGCCTCACCTCTCCCACGTGAGGCTTCAGCAAAGAGCTGGTCCAGGAAAAATGCCACTCACTCAAAAGATGAGTCATCAGAAAGGAAGCCGCAAAGGATCTCTCTGGTATATAAGGATCTCTCTTATATACTGTACTACTAAATATATAAGCTTAGAAAAGGGACAGGCAAAGCATGTGGCAGATGCAGAATCGTCACCAGGCAAATGCTGCTGTGCAATGTCACCCCAAGAAATTTAATTTAAAAAAGGAATTGCATAGCCCAGCCCACGTGGCTCAGTGGTTGAGCCTCAACCTATGAACCAGGAAGTCAGGGATGGATTTCCCGTCAGGCAGATGGCACATGCCAGGATTGTGGACTTGATCCCCAGTGTGGGGCATGCAGGAGGCAGCTGATCAATGAATGATTCTCTTTTTTAAAAATATATTTTATTGCTATTTCACAGAGAGGAGGAAGGGAGAGAGATAGAGAGCCAGAAACGTCGATGAGAGAGAAACATCGACCAGCTGCGTCTTGCACATCCCCTACTGGGGATGTGCCCGCAACCAATGTACATGCCCTTGACCGGAATCGAACCTGGGACCTTTCAGTCCGCAGACCGACGCTCTACCACTGAGCCAAACCGGTTTTGGTTGAATGATTCTCTTTTATCATTGATGTTTCTCTCCTCTTCCTCTCTGAAATATATATATATATATATTATAAAACAGGAATTGTATAAAAATATTTAAAAAAGGAAAATGCTGCCGAAGAGCTGATGAAAGCTGTCACCAAACAATTGCCAGTCATTTCAAAACAACAAAATGATTGCCTCCTAGAAGAGAGAGTACAGAAAAAAACTGGGAATGTAAAATGAAAGAATCGAAATTGGCCCAACACATTATTTTGTACTCCCTCGATGCAGAAGGAGTTCAGCTGTTCTGGCTGGCCAGCCCACCCTGGGGACAGGAGGAAGGGAGTGAGGCATCGCAGGGCAGTGGCCTAATCACAGGAGGCGGGTCCGCTGATGCCGAGCCACGCAGGAGTCCCGCGCCCCAGGATGCTCCTCGCCACACCCTGCATCATCACGTTCCCCAGCCGTTTATCATCTCTCTGCCCCTAGCCTTTCCTCGTCTACGCCAGTTCAAATTCTGCACACGCTGAAGGGTACTGACCTCCAAAAAGCCCGTGCGTGCTCCTCCTCTCCCTTCCCCAGCTTTTGTCTGGACATTGGCAAGGCATGGATGAGTGGAGTAGGGCAAATCATCTACCTCTCCAGCCTGTTTCTTCCTCTGAGGGACGGCTGAGCTGGAGCAGCACTGACTCTTAAGTCCCTACACGACTTGGTGTTTGATGACCCTGGAAAGCGCAAGGGACGAGAGATCAGACGCTTCTGCAAGTCTCGGATGGAGCTGCGTCCAGGGATGTCCACATTATTGGGGTGACTTGGCGTATCCCTATGCAACTATGTTCGCGGGGGGGACTCCCTGAGTCCCCACAGCTCTCCCGGCCGCCCCGATGGGAACCTAACCTCCCGGGGCCTGGAGGATCCCGGGTCCTTCCGGGTTTCTGTGTCGAATCTGCCGGCGGCGGCCCGGCGCCGCGCCCCCGTGTGGAAAGTGCGGCTGCGCGCGCGCCGCGGCGTTTACGCGGCGATTTCATCATGCTCGGGGCCGGGCCGCTTCCGCCGCCGCCGCCGCCGCCGTCGCGCCCAGGCCCGCCGGCCCATGCCCTGCCCGCGCCCGGCGCTGCTTAGAGCCGCCCGCGCCGCGCTGCTGCTGCTGCCGCCGCCGCCCCGGCTCCCGGCCCCGGCCCCGCCCCGCAGGCCCCTCGGCACGCGCGCCCCCGGCCCGACCTCGTTCCCCGCGGCCGCCTCCCCGAGCAGCATGGACGGCGCCGGGGATGAGGAGGTGCTGGCGCCGCTCCGGCTCGCCGTGCGCCAGCAGGTACCGGCGTCCCGCGCCTTCCCCGCTGCCCTGCCCTCCTCCTCCTCCCCCCGCGCTGCCTCCCCTTCCCTCCCGGTGCCCTCCTCCCCGCGCATCCCTGCCCCTCGCCGGCGACCCCGCTCTGGGAGCCCTAGGCTTCTTGGCACCACCTTTGCGCCCCCCGCGCGCGTCGGCCACCTTCCCTCCCGAGGACCCCCGTCCTCCCCTCCTCGTGGGCGGCTCCCTCCGCGCGCGATCTGGTCCCCTTCCCCGGTCCTGGCTCCTGCCCGCGCCCTCTCTCCCGCGGGGCTGGATCTGGGCCCCCCGGGTCCCTCCGATCCCGGCTCAGGGTCCTCCACTTCGCTTTTCCAACCTGGGCTGCGGGCTTTGTGCGCCCCGGGGGAGAGCTGCCTGGTCAGCCGGGGCTGCCGGTTCCTGCCTTTAATCTCCAGCGTGTGTCCTCCTGGACATCTTCCTGCATTCCTTGCTTAGCCGAATGACAGGCCGAGAAGATTATAAGGGGAAAAAAAGTTGGAACGTGGGTGTGGGAGGTGTTGACGGGGCCCCTTTCTGATAACGATGGGAGTTCTTGGTCCTTCTCTCTGTCGGGTTCCGAAAGGGCCCTTGGGAGTGAGCGAGCCCGGGAAACTGTGCATGCTGCCGGGTTCCTGGCGAAGCCGGCCCTCCGAATGGAACTTTCTGAAACTTGATTTTGCCGGAGGGAGGGAGGGAGGGTTCCTGCGCTGGAGGACTCCGCGGTGTGCGCAGGCCGGCTTCTCCCGGGGCAGGGCCTGGGGAAGACGAGGAAAAGGCTGTGTCAGAGGGATTCCCACGTCCAGGCGGGGAGAGCCCCAGCGCTGGCGATGATGACCTTATAGTAAACAGCAGGCAGGTTGGGATCGATGACCTTGTAATAAACGACACACGGGTTTCTCCTCCTGCACGAGCGGCGCCTGATGCAATAGCTTGTCTCAGCTGGGAGGGTGGAACCCTCCCTCCATCATTCATTGGGGGCAGCTCTGCTACACATTCAGCAAACCCTTCCACTTGGCGGTCTCTGCTTCTTGCTATATGAGCCTGACTCACTCAGTAGTGTTTTATTTTGCTTTTTCACTATGAGCTTCATATTTCTCTCCTTTCTGATAGGGATCAGAATGCTTATTTTCCATCTCCCTTCACCCACTCTCCCTGAATCGTATTAGGTGTGGTTCCTTTGTCGTTCCTGTAACTCAATTTTTGTTTCATGTCCTTCACTGTGGAAGGGAGAAAGCATCTAAATTAAAAAAACAAAAAAAACAAAAAAACCTAAAAAAAAACAACACGTTCACAAACCCCTCCCTCTGCCACGTTAGCTGGAACTGCAGTGCAAATTATCTGTCTGCAGTGAGACTGTGGAAGCAGTTCAGTGCACTTCCATCGGTTCCCGTGCCATTACCGTATTGCATCTTGTTTATGCTGACCTGGTTCACTTTTTTGTTTAAGATAGTTTTTGACTATGTAAGTTAGTTTGTGTAAGTTAGGTTAGATTCTTTATCTAGTATTCCAGGACCACACATAGGAGTTAACTACCTGAAACTTTGAATCACACCGATTCCAGTGTCATTTGGAAGGGGGTTTAAGGATCATCTACTCACCCACCCCCGTCCCCCCACCCCTTTTTTTTTGGCTTATGAGGAAATGAGGCACACATCACATCTCTATATTTTTCACTGTGAAGTTTGTGCAATTGGAGACATCCTTGGGGATTTTAAGGTGCTTAACAACTAGTCGTGTTAGTGAGATGTGTTTTATATAGTTATGTGTTTCATATGCACATCTGCTAGGCTATGTGAATGCTGTTGCTTTTTGGAGGTTAGGTTTGTTTGACCGAAATGCATGCTCCTGTGGCATATTCTTAGTTGCTTATTGGAGAATTAGTTATGGGACTCCTAAAAGGGTTTCAGAACACCAAGAAAAATGCATCATCATCATCATCATTATTGATGAATGGTGCCCTGGGACAATTGAGTTGTTGTTGTTTTTTTTTTAAATGAGGTATTAACATAGAGTGGAGCCTCGTCTTTATTTTGCCAAATAAGGACATTAAGAAAACTAATACAATCACCAAACTGCCATCTGAATTTTGCTTTCATTTCCTAAAAGAAAGAGTATTTTAATACAAAAAAGAAAAGCCATAGCTCATCGTTTATATTTAGTAGGTTTAACTTTAAAAAATACCTAATGCATTTTTTATTTTTTTATTTTTTACCATATATTATGAAAACTCAGTCCTGGAGTGCCTTGTTTGGGATCGGAATAGATGAATGAATAACACTACTTGTGTTTCAGTGTTTCCTGTTTTTCTTTTACTGTACCTGGGAAGACAGCTAAAATCCAGATCTTGGCAGTAGTAAGGAGACAGGGTGAGTGCCCCAGCCTTTCTCGGCTTTGATTTTCTGAACTAAGTGTGCCCATTACAGCTCTTGCTTGAGCCGTAGAGGGCACCTGAAAAGTTCATGACATCATTGTCAATAGCTGGAGAACATTGGAAATCTGAGACAGACTCATTAATCTTTTTTTTTTTTTTTTTTAAGTAAGAGCATTTCTTTTTTTTCTTTTTTTTTTTTAATATATTTTATTGATATTTCTCAGAGAGGAGGGAGAGAGATAGAGAGCTAGAAACGTCAATGAGAGAGAAACATCGACCAGCTGCCTCTTGCACACCCCCCACTGGGGGATGTGCCCGCAACCAATGTACATGCCCTTGACCGGAATCGAACCTGGGACCTTTCAGTCCGCAGACGGACGCTCTACCACTGAGCCAAACCGGCTTCGGCCAGACTCATTAATCTTAACAAGAACCCTCATGTGTGAAAGCAAACCCCTTACAGCGGCGGGGGTTTTGTTGTTTTTTCTTGGCCAGCTGAATATGCAGCATGACATACTGATCCTGTGGAATGACTTCTCATCTAATAATTACTTTGCTTTATAATCACAGGCTGTTATTTCAAATATATGTCTTCAGGTAACAATTTACCCAGGAACTAAGCTTCTACTTGATGTGTCTTAAGGGTGATGTAGATGGCGTTTCACATCAGTTTCATTAAACACACACACACACACACACACACACACACACAGTTGGGTTGTGAAGACGAGAGGAAAAATAATTAGAAATTAGGAATCCTTAAGTACTTTCATCCATGTTTAGATCACATCCAATTATTTTGTTTTCGGGGTTGGATCATTATAAATCATGATTTTAAAAGTGATTCAGGGAAATCGGTTTTAAACACTTCCTGCCTTACCTTCACCTGCCCTGGTCCTTTGTGCTGCTCTCTCCTCAACCAGGAAGCTCTGGGAAGAAACCGTGGGTGGAATGTGTGGGAGGGGCAGTACTTGACACAGAGTGGGAGACACACAAAAGAACTGCTTGCCTACATCTTCACCAAGTTCAAGACGTTCGTGAGAATGACTATAATACTTCCGGCCTCTTTTCAGAACAAAGGCTCTCTCTCGTTCTTATCCCCATCCAAAAGCACTGTGAGTGAGCATTTATGAGACAGCTGCTCTGACAAGCCGAGGAAGGAAAAAGGACACTGAATAATGAGTAACTTAATAATATTTGTGAATTTTAAGTGCTTGGCACACTGTGCTAGGTTTAGGTTGTGATATCAGTCAACAAATATAATTTTTAAAGATATATTTTATTGATTTTTTTTTTTTTTTACAGAGAGGAAGGGAGAGGGATAGAGAGGCAGAAACATCCATGAGAGAGAAACATCGACCAGCTGCCTCCTGCACACCCCCAACTGGGGATGTGCCCGCAACTAAGGTACATGTCCTTGACTGGAATCGAACCTGGGACCCTTCAGTCTGCAGGCCGACGCTCTATCCACTGAGCCAAACCGGTTAGGGCAACAAATATTTTGAGTGCCAGAATTCTATTTACCTTCCATAATTCCTTTCTTAAGATAGGGACAGATAAAATGCATGTACATAAGTAAGCCACTGCTTGATAGGGCAACTTCAGATATTGTATGTGTAATAAAGAAGCTGAAATAACGAGAGAAGATGGCTAGAGAGCTCAGGATGGAGCTAGTTCAGTGGCTCTGAACTTGGAGACCCCGTGCCCCCTTTTACACCAGATGCGTTGTAATTCCGTTACTATCCTGCAGTGACGGAGACGGCCGTTTTTTTCTAAGTAGAGAAAAGAGAGATTCCAGGAGAGAAGGGGTCTGATTTTTGGTTCTTCTGTGTTCTCTATACTAATCTTGCTCTTTCCTTCGTTTTATCAATGCCTTTCTCTCCTTCCTCTTCGCTTTCCCTCCCCACCTCTAAAACAGTAGTAATAACCATTTTAAACCCTGTGTACTTGTTTGAATATTCAGCTGGGCTTATAAATGCTGAGGGCAGAGACTTTCAATTATTCTTAATGACCTCTCATATACTAGACATTTGAGCAGCCTTATTCTTATACAGATACTTTTAAAAGGCGTGCTCAAAGACGCATTGCTAACTTTTCTTGACTTCTGAAGCCAGTCCTGAACGTAAATTCTCTCTGTTGGCCAGGGAGATCTTGTGCGAAAACTCAAAGAAGAGAAAGCACCCCAGGTCGATGTGGACCGAGCGGTAGCTGAGCTCAAATCCCGGAAGAGGATTCTGGAAGCAAAGGTGAGCCATGAGACTCTAAAACAGGAACGTAAGTAGGTATAGGATCGTCCATCTTTATTTCATCTCTGTGTGTAGGAAAGGCATAGAAAACTCTCATAGCAAGTCTCATTTGCTTTATCTCTATTTATCCGGATGCCTTCCTCTCCTCCTCTACCCCGCCTCATTTTTTTACAGGGTGCAACTCAAAATCTCACCTTCTCTTTGAAGCCCTCTGACCCCTGACCTCCCCCTTCGCCCATATTCTAGACTCAACATGCCCGATGAATCTCTATGGGAGTCACAGTGCTTCTCTTCCTCAGGGCACCTCCCATGCCTGGGGAGAATGGTTTTGTGTTGACATTTCTCTTTTTTCTTTTAAGGAAAGGGTCTCTCCATCTGATACCTGCTCCCAAATCTTTCAAACGATAAATCTCCCACCACCAAACAGAAGTAGTGTGGTGTTTGAAGTCATTATTTTGCTACTGTGATCCACTACAAATTTAGATATTATCAGTATCTGCACCTAAGTAAGCCTAGTCTTGTAATCTTAGAAATGATCACATATTTTTCCTAAATAATTAAGTAAAGATATCTTTTCTGTAACTCTGATAGGGGGAAACCCCAAGGTCTCTTATTTTTTAAGGATATCAAAATCTTGTCTGATAAATTTTATATTGAGTTTTGCTGAGGAGTAAACTAAATTCACATGTGTAAATTCATGTTACTGCATCCCTCTCTCTAATCACGTTCTCCATTAAAAACCCCTGTAGGAGCTGGCATTACAGCCCAAAGATGACATTGTAGACAGAGCAAAGATGGAAGATACCCTGAAGAGGAGGTTTTTCTACGATCAAGCTTTTGCTATTTATGGAGGTAGGGGGTTAGTGATGGAAAGAACAGGTGTGCTGTTCGTGGCTTTAATATTGTTCTTAAGTAAAAGCTGGCTTCCAATGGACACCTCCTTGTCTGAGGTCACCGAAAGCAAAGGATGGATATTTTTCTTTCGTTTGTTTAGCGCCAACCATTTGATGTGAAATCTGTTTTTATTTCCCTCGGCCCTACTTATTCTTGAAGACTCGGTTCAAGTTTGGCTAAACAGATCTCTCAATGTTTAACTTCGTGAGGTTTATATAGTGGCTCAAATTCCCAAGAATAAATGAGAGAATTGGGTGCTAAAATTATTATTATCACTTGAAACAAGAACTTATTGTCTAATTTCTGTGGCAGAAAAAATTTTTTTTTTCTCATTCTGTTCTTGTACATGGACAAACTTCTTTTGCTTTCATTTTTTTCTTGCTAATTCTACTTGAAATTCTTAATATGGCAAAAGTAAACGAGTAGGAGCTTTTTGATTACCTCTGTCAGCTAGTGGAGGGAAGGCTCTTGGTACTGAGGGATTCGAATGTTGACGT